ACAAGTAATCTATTCTACGCAAAACTGAATGTCATGTGATGAAGAAACACGTTTCTCTTTATATACAACCATCGATGAAAACACACGATTAATAAAGCCAAGATATATCATGTATATACATAAGATCACAATGTAATGATGAAATTTTTTTGTCATTTCTTCATTTTGAGTTATAGTATAAATGCTTAAACTAATACAGAAATATGCACACAAAAAAGGTGAAGGGAAATGTTGTTTTTTTCATACTGACGTGTTTATCGTAAGCGTCACTTATAATTAAATATTAATTGAAATCAATTTGAAAATGACAAAAAAATATATACTCGAATAATTCTTTGTATTTCTCCAATGGTTACACAGATCAAATAAGACGCAAGAATACAAACTCTATCTCAACCGGCAAGTTCTGCCCTCTGGCCGCAAACGACATTGCTGAATTTCGAAGAACAGAATGACAATAAACAACAGTGAATGCATGTCTACACTACATAGTTGTGTGTTTACGTTCTCACGAAACTATAGTAAAATAGAGTCTAAAGAATAAATTTCAACTGGTTGGACTAACAACCTTCTGTTCTCCTTCGTACGTACCTATTGACTCATCATACATTCACCGTGTAAATAAAGATTATATAAACGGGATTAAATTCGAGCGTGTTTGAATCTAATGAAATATTTTTGATTAAGATTTCATCTCTACATACGAATGCAGCCATCGCCATTTGCTAATTCGACAACATCATCACCGTCACCACCATGGATGACAGCAAATAATGCAAAGTACATAAAAATAAACTTTCGCTACGGATAAATTTCATCTATTGAATTCAATAGTATGGTGAACAATAACTCCAATTTCTGGTCCAATGGTGGATTTCGTAAGCGGAAAGCCGCTGTTAGCGATCTGGATGAGAAGTAAAGCTCAATAAGATACTATCGAGAGTGAATTATGTTTTCTTCTAGAGCCAATCAAAAGATGTTTGTGACAGAGGAGAAAATGGTGAAAGAAATGCAGACACTATCATTGGAATTAGCAACTCTTAACAATTCTCCACCGGTCACCGAGTGAGTACTACTAGTTTTTTTGTTATATATAATGAGAAAAATGTTTGTATTTCAGAGAATTGGTAGAGATTGATAGGCCTCAAAATGAAATCGTCCAAGAAAATGATCTTAGTGATGATGACGATGATAAAGATAAAAATGCAAACATCGAACAGACACGCTTTGAATTACATAAACTATTGAAGGATAGTCTGAAAAAAGATGATTTACAGGATAGTGTTCTCAGTAAACTTTGTGAGATCGAACGGTAGGCTCTTTTCTTATCTCAACTTCATTAATTGCATATATTTAGGAGGAAATTCACTATGCAACTGGTACCTTACATGCCAATTCATCCTGCACAGTTGAATAGCGAAAATGTCACAAGTGATGATAAATCTAAGGATGATGATGAAGATGAACTCATAGAAAATTCATCGGTTGTGATATCGGAAGAAGTGAAAAATGAAAATGATGACTATCAGTTCAAAATACCATCGATACCCACACCTTACACAGTTGAAGAACCCTGTGACAACACGAGAAAACGTCCATCAGCGATGAAACGGTAAACGAAGAGAAATCTCTCGTGAGATTTTTTTTTCATTTTAATACTCGTTGTAGAAGTTATTCTCAATCTAATCAGAGCAATAGTAATTTATCAGTGACAGAAGTAAAACACGATGGCAATGAGCAATCATCAACATCTCAGCCGCCATCAGCTTATTTTATCGTTGAACCAATTGTAACTCCGTAAGTAAAAGAACATCTTATCAAATCTTTCTCTTATGACTCATTCTGCATACGGAATGATATGTGAACTACAGTCAACATCGTATTTCATTACATATTTTTGTCAAATAATAAGGAAAAAACCGAGAAGAAATATTACAAATATTCTTTTCTTGTTTTCTTCTCTAGTTCCTGTCAAACATCGTCGAGCACGTCAAGTTCATCCCTTTCTACCAATGATCTATCAGTTCGAATAACCGAATTCGTTGAAAATCCTACAGCGCCCATTGAATTCACTAGTGCAACAGAAGACGATGATGTTGATATGCAATCGATTGCGTCATCGGATACCGGTGATAGAATGGATGATGATTGAGTGAACGTGAAAATAACGTCATAGGACTTTCTTTTCTCTAACTTAATCTTGCTGTATCTCTCTGTGCAACAGATGTATTTGTTGATATTAATGTATGGTTTAATTTCAGATATAAGATTTCTTCTTTATTTTTCTTTCTGTGATACACAACGCATGGCATCGGCACCTATAACAGAAAATTGTGTTGATACAAATTCCACTTCAACGGCAGAAAATCAAACCATGCATCAGATACGACAATTCGATTTGAAAGTAGTACGCGATGCCTTTGTTGATTGTATTCAACCAGATCAAAATCTACTTCTTCATGAATATGTTCGAGCGTATGATGAACTATGCGTGTAGGAATTTCTATTACTTTTATCGAACAGAACAAACTGAATTCATCTATTTAGATTTGTTTCATCGCTCGGCGCTATTTTTGACTGGGCAATCAAAGATCTAACTCATAAATTAGTCATTCTTAGAGAACATCAACGTCTCGATCCGATTAATTATCATTCTATTCAATCAATGATTGCTCATGAAGTTAAAACAGATCGTGTGAAAACTAAAGACACAGCATTGACGCTTCCATCGGGAAAGCCTTTACCCAATGGCTCTCGAACATTACTGAGGTTACATCGTGCACTTGCCTTCATTTCATCGTTCTTAAGTCAAATGCGTTTGGCATCGGACAATGAAAGTTCAGCAGCAATTGCATGGAACGCTTATTCATCCACACTAGGTCATTTTCATTCATGGCCTGTGAGACATACGTATGTACAACCGGTTCTGTCTACCTATTGTCTAAAAATAACTAACTCTTTCTTTAGAATTCATGCCGCTATCAAATTGACAGTGCCTGATCGTGGTACATTGATCGACAAGTTACTTAATAAGCGAAATCCGAACGAGATTGAAACAATTTCCATTGATATTGTTAAATCCTGCAATCTTATTGAAAGCAAGACACAAGAATTATTCGAAAAGCACCACTTGACCAGATTACCTTAATGTGTAATATACTTTCTTTGTCTTTTTTTTCCTTCTATGATCTGCTGAAGTTAATCTTGAACGAGATGCAACTGTCAAAATATGATGGTTTTTCTTTTCCGATCTTCTTTAATGCGATTTTTACTTTTATTTTTTGCTGATAATTTAGAGAATTGCTTATGAGAAATGGCACTTTTGTGTACTGTCTAACGGCTAACAATAATATTTACAAAAAAAAAAAGAATTCAGTATTCAAGCAATGAACAAGATGTTTGCTACAACTTTCTTTTTGTTTCCTATGTCGCTATTTTCCTCCTTGTTCACGTTGTTTCCTATTCCGACTGCAACTAATAAATGAAGTTGAAGTCAAGTACCATGTTTCAACATGTAAAATTGCAGTTTTCAACGAGCATTGTTCCGGATCGAAAGCTTGCAATATGAAATTAGTATAATCTCCATGTTGAACATAACCAATCAAATACGATATTCGTACTAGGGAATGTACTTTCCGAGAATTTATTAAAACGAAAAATGTGAAGATAATGTTTAGCGAGTGATTTCATCATGAAAATATTGGAACATCGGGATTATAAATGTACAAAACCAATGTAAAAATATGATTATGGATCGATTTGAGCTGCAGACCTGTAACATTTCAGTCTTCTGACAGAATGCCATCTGATTGTGAATGTACAACAACACACATACAAGTTCATTCATTCTCTAGTTTAGAATTCAATTGTAATTTATTCAGATTTCTTTGTACCATAAGACGCATTTAGCGCGAAAATAAACGACAGGTAAAGTGTAAAATAGAGATACTCTACCTGTGAACAGAGTGAAAGAAAAGACAAACGTTCCATCGTTCACTTCCATTCAAATTGAACAAGAATATTTGTATGAGGAAAGTTGATTAGACGAACATTCTGGACGATATCGAACAGTACATAGAACTGAAAGACAAATATTCCCTTCGAATTAGTTATACTGAATATTATCCACCTTTCAGATGAGTTATTATTGGTTATTTGAAAAAAACTTTTAGTTTCAATGTATTATGTTCATTAGTCGGTGTTAATTAAACATTTGATAATGCCGCATGCGATGGAATATTTACTCAATCGATCGATTTAGCTAGTATATCAAACAGAGAAGAAAATAATGAAGTATTTGCTTTATAAATATCACTCCGAATTCATAATTATATTAAATGTCTTACGGTTGATGAATGTTTCTTAGAACGTCTAACAAATATTCGAATTGAGGAAAAAAGGGTGGTAATTTAACGTGTTTGAATCTCGACATTTACGAATATGATTATCCTTTCAGTAGAACATATCTGAATAATTCATTATTGACAAGATGTGTTTCGTCAAGTATGACTTATCTATCTTTAAAACTACATCATTTTGATGATTGCCGATATTTGCTCGATGGACATGTTCATCAGTCATATACATTTATTGTGAAGCTTGACTTTGAGTATGATTCATTGATACTTCGACATGAAATGTTTCGCATTATTTGTGCTGCATGTGACCAGTGAATTCGATGCAGAATCTATTGACCATTGTCAGGGAATTTCCGTGATAGTATTTGAGTAATTTGTTGTGATGAAGTTCGGAATTTTCTAGATGTCCTTCATCCACAGTAAAAATTGGATTTCAGATGATGATTCATGAATACGCAAATTCTTTCTTTCTCCTGAGTCCAACAAATATCATAAGAATAGTAAACCATCGGAGATTGTTTTGTTGGAGTTTTTCAGTGACGAGTTTTGCGACAGGCATCGAGGAAACAATTTTAGTTAAAAGGAAAGGTTTTGAATTACGTCTGTTTTGTATATTTAAATAAATTTGTTAATCCTCGCCCAATGCCTACCGTCCATCAACGTAAACGAGCACTAGTTATTGGTATTGACAACTATCATTCTGAGCCACTTAAGTACTGCGTGAATGATGCTCAGGATTTGACAGAGACTTTGAAAGCAATGGACTTTGAAGTTACATTGGTAATTAATTGCAGTTACGGTGAATTTTTTGACGAAGTCGACCAATTTATAGCGCAAATAACACATTCTGACTTGACTCTATTTTATTTCGCTGGGCATGGAAAACAGATGGACGAACAGAATTTTCTGCTCCCATCAAATTACGATTACGATTATCGTCATAGTGAATCCAAATATCTATCGGAAAATGCTGTTAATGTTCGATACATCACCAAAGCCATAGATGAGAAAAGGTGTTGTGTTACAATATACTTATTCGATTGTTGTAGGAATAATGTGCGTACTCGATCGTCTGATCAACAGCAAGGTTTATCGGCGATACACGGCTTACCAGAAACTCTAGTCATGTTTTCATGTGCTCCGGGTAAAGCAGCAATGGATGAGACGTACAACGGTAGAAATGGCGTATTCATGGGGAGTTTGTTGCAGCATATCACCAAGCCACATAATCACACTGAAGTGCTGCTCAGAAATGTTGCACGAGATGTTAAAAATCAAACAAATGGTTTTCAATTGCCGTATCGAACAAGTTCTTTTACTGATAGTGTCTATTTGATAAGTGATAAGCAGGGTAAAACTTTTCGTTATTGCATTCTCGGTTATTACATCGTTCGTTTCTTTTCCATTAGAAAATCTTGCTGAAGTTCATTCTCGACGTCCGCTTAAATGTCACGGGCGTCCATGTGACAGGTGTGGTCATTGTCGGGATTGGCGTCCATGTGGCAGTGATTCCAGTGATGGCCTTCCTGTCTATGAAAAGCGTGCATGTGTTACATGTTGCGGTGCCAGATATGCATATCACGATGGACATGGTCATCTGTATGATTCAGTCCTCAATGGTTTTGGCTCTTCTTCTATCTGTACATGTCCAGATAACGTTTAGAGATGACGAGCGCTAACGCTATCGTTTGCTTTGTATCAGAATGCGCGTCTGAGCGTTTTCTTTTTGTAATAGCTCTTTTGTCCCGCATCTTCATTAAACTTCCATTTGTGCTTATTGAGAAGATTCATTAATGATTACTATACCGCCACTCCCCTCAAGCTACTCGCTCATATCGATAAAAGCACCGTTAAGAGTAGCATTGCATCATGTCAACCATTGTGAAGTAGACGTCAATTCGATGCTTTTGTTCAGTTTTGGCTGAGTGTGCACGAGATAATATATTCGTTTGTGGTCATTACACTTCACGATCGTCTCTCTGTGTATTTCATCTGTATTTCGAAGATCTGGATGCCCCCCCCCCCTCCGTCACCTGTACGACCATCCGATAACGTTGGATTGTGACATGTGGCTATAAGTTCAATACTTCTAACCGATAGGCCAAAAATTTATATTCATTAGAAAGAATATATTGCTCCATGTTGTTTACCAGATGTACGATGCACTTGTAGCGTAATAGCTACTTTCCATCAATCAAGAAAACAATATAAAACTAATCATGAAGATCGAACAGAATTAGATATGAGCGTCTTCAATCAATAATTGTCAATATCTACTCATAAATCTCTAGTTCATGCGAGTAAACGGCTCGTTGAAGAAAAAGATGATTATGAAAATCAATCATCAGCAGACCTTGTATGTAAAATTTGTTTAGCTCAGAAGAAAACCTACACGATCAGTCCTTCCAATCATCTCTGCTGCTGCTCCGTGTGTACTCAGTGCATCGAAGACTGCTGTCCAATGTGCTGTGAAGCCATAGAATTGATTCAATGTATTTATCGTCTATGAAAGCTCCGATCAAAAGACAAAGAACGGAAAAAGAGTTTGCTTTCTTTGCTAAATAGACAACGTTCATCAGTGACCAAATACATCTGGATAGGAAAAAATACATCGAGATATGATATGTAAATATAATTGATTTTTAAAATAAAAAAAAAGAAGAAGAACGAGCACAAGACTAATTTGAAAATACTAATCGTATAAATGTCTATTGGTTGCACATTGCCTAAGCAAGGTGTGAGCGTGGACATTTCTTAATTAATTCGTCGACAACTGATGGATCGTTTAATGTTGAGATATCACCAAGATTGTGAACGTCAGGCTCAACAATTTTACGTAAAATACGGCGCATGATTTTACCGCTACGAGTTTTAGGCAAGTTCGGTGCAAAATGTATAATGTCAGGAAACACATGTGCACCGATGATCTCACGAACAGTTTTAATGAGATCTTTTTGTAGTGCGTCAGATTCTTCAACGCCATCTTTCAATGTAACGAAACAGTACATGCCCTGATTCTTCTTTGGATCCGGATAACCGACAACTGCAGCTTCGGACACACCGGCATGTTGAACAAGAGCAGACTCAACTTCAGCCGTGCCGATATTATGACCTGATATGACTAGAACGTCATCCTAAAAATGAACTATGTTTACTACTGCTTTTCTCGATTGTTGTTACGAACCACTCGACCGGTGATCCAATGATAACCGTTTGCTTTTATCTCACAACCATCGCCAGAAAAATAATAGCCAGGATATGGTCTGAAGTACACATCGACGAAACGTTCATGATTACGATAAAGACTACGTGCTTGACCAGGCCATGAGTCTCGGATACATAATTCACCCGTATTTGGCGGTTGTAATGGTTGTCGAGTTTCCTTGTTGAAAAGTTGAGTTTGAATACCAAAAAATGGCAGCGTAGCTGAACCGCCTTCAAGTTCCCATACGTTTGGAATAGGTGTAATCATAAATCCACCGGTTTCAGTCTAGAGTCAATGCAATCTATCCATTGGTCATAGATAAAATATCGAACAAACCTGCCACCATGTATCAACAATAGTACAGCGGCTATCACCAACAATTGTATGATACCATTTCCATGCTTCTGGATTGATTGGTTCACCTACAGTACCTAATATTCGAAGTGATTTACGGCTTGTACGCGTGACAAATGAATCATCATGTGCCATTAACGAACGAATAGCTGTTGGTGCGGTGTAGAATATATTAATTTGATGTTTATCAACAATATTCCAAAAACGTGACACATCAGGATACGTCGGTATTCCTTCGAAAACTACTGTGGTCGCTCGATTAGACAACGGTCCATAGATAACATCTATTCATTATCGTGAAAGTTTTTGGATACTATTAATCGTCACAAAAGACATTATTTCTTACATGAATGACCTGTAATCCATCCAACATCAGCTGTACACATATAAACTTCACCTGGAGTGTATGCAAAGACGTATTTAAATGTTAAACTGACATATGTCAAATAACCACCAGTTGTATGTAATATTCCCTTGGGTTTACCAGTTGAGCCACTCGTGTAAAGCTATAAAAGATTATTAAGAGATAGATCTTTCATCGGAACACATCTGTCAAAATCTTTACAATAAATAATGGATCTTCGGCATTCATTGGTTCAGGGTCACATTTATCGTCCACTTTTTCTAATTCATCATGCACCCAATAATCTCGACCGTCGACCCATAAAAGCGAACTACGTTGTTCTGCGCAGTCATCTTCCGTTGCCGATAATCCATGATTTCGTTGGAAGACAAGAACAGTTTTAACTGATTTGCATTGTTCCATCGTTAGAGCAACATCGATTTTACCTTTCAATGGTGTACATTTACCACCGCGAACGCCGAAGTCACTTGTGATAACGATTGTCGACTCGCAATCAGATATGCGTTCGGCTACACTATGTGAGCTGAAACCACCGAAGACAACGGAATGTATGGCACCGATTCGTGCGCACGCTAATAACGCTACGCATGTGTCCACGATCATGGGCATGTAAATCGTCACTCGATCTCCTTTTTTCACTCCATGATTTTTCAAGACATTTGCAAATCGTTTCACGTCACGTAGAAGTTCAGCATAGGTGATATGATGTCGTTTTTCAGTTAACTTATCTGTTTCGAAAATAATTGCCACTTGCTCACCTACACTCGGATCTTTTGCTATATGTCGATCGAGACAATTATAGCAGACATTTAGTACTCCATCTTCAAACCATTTAATTTCTACACCTCGTTCTGTACGGTAATCGAATTCAGTGTTTTTTATTTTCGTCGGAAATTGATACCAATCCAAACGCTGTGCGGCTAATGTCCAAAATCGATCAGGGTTTTCGGTTGATAATGCGTAAAGACTTTTATATTCGTCAAATGTTTGAATTTTCTCTGGTAATGAGGATTGATCCCACGCAGTTGTACTGGAATTGTTTATCACTGTTGAAGAAGACATGCTGAATGTCGACTACGAATGGAAAATGAAAGGCGCAAGAGACGTCTGAAATATACACACACATACATATATATTCATCATGGTAAAAAATAGAAGAAATATTAAAAAACACATGGCAACAGATGTGTGACATCGACGATTCCACTGAAAGAAAATGCGAGACAAACCACGTCACTTCACAATGTCTACTGACATTTATGTCGTAGTTCACAATTCAGGTCACTTGATGTACTCATGGTCATTATTCCAATGAAAAAATGTTCTCATTCAAGAGAAGGGAGGAGCAATGCATGGTTTCCACCGAATAGTATGAGAACGAAGCATTACAACGATTAATATGATAAAGGAAAAGAAAAACAAAATTCAGGATATTCTACGATTTCTTTTCTTCTGTCTTTCATGTAAAGTCAAAGAAAAGATGTCTCGATTGTCAAACATCGTTCGAAAGGAATAATAAACTGTATTCTTATCCTAAGACTTCGATAAATCATCGAAATAAAAGAAGAAGAGAACAAGTTTTTTTGCTGACTATCTCCTTCTTTCACACAACGAGATGATTTTAGATTAAGACAACAAGAACGACAAAATAGAAGATTGACCTAAAAAACATTTTCTTTCTTTTTCTTAAGCGTCACACATACAAGCTTAGTTAACCATCGATTGCCAATTTGGCGAGCGGAAAAAAAATAGACGAGACGCTAGAATGAATGACTTCTCTCTTTCTTTTCCTAACGCGATGAGCAATTCTTCTCTCTTCTATTTCGGACTTAATCGAGCCGAACAACTATTACCTACAAGTTCCAAACGGCGAGTTTTTCTTTCCTGAAACAAACAAACGAGCACGTACAATATCATTTGCATCTTTTGTTTTTCATGCAATAACAACAACGAAATGAAAAAACGAACACGGACATACATTCACGAAAATGACTTTACTAAATATGATATTTGAGAAAAGTCTACATATGTTGATGATAACATTGAAAGAAAACTATTATTGCTCGGTTGACACCAGTGATCATTGGGAGTGTCAGGAATATAAAGATGATAAAGAAGATATTTGATTAGACTAACACTGGTGATCGATTCGGTGGAAGTCGGAAAAACGATTGAATGATTCTTTCTATTCAATCAAACCAAATTAGTTTTAACGAAAGAACTAGACAAAGAAAGAAAGCACAAACTTTTTCGCAGGAAACAATATTATCGTCGGATAATGATATGCAGTTAAGTGCCATGGAAGATCATGCTTATCTGCTTGTATTCTAAATGAGATCCAAGTGTGAGAAGATTTCGAACGAGAAAGTTCTAACCGACCGAGTAAAAATCAGATCAGAAAAGTTTTCGAAGAACTTCTTTGTTTGATATACAACTGGCCAGATGGATTGACAAAATCCGCACCATTTTGTGTAGTAAACGACCAGAACATGCTATGGATCGAAACCGATTGAGATGTTTTCAAAGGCTCAGCTCGTTTTTTTACCTTAGTCGAATCAAAAACAATTGGATGAAATGTATCAGTTGTCAACTCGATGAGCTTATTGGAATGGTTTATCACTGCTTCATCATTTGGAATGCTTGTGTATGAGCGAGATCGTACATTATGCGAGATTTCATATATAAGTTTATCTAAAACATCACCAAGCGGTGTAACTTACGAAAGATGCATTTCAGTATACATACAGATATTTTCAGTAGTAATGTGAGTATCGTTGAGAATATAATGCTGTTCGTTCTAGAAAAAGAATTGAATGCATACAATCTGATCTCTGCTTATTCATCATGAAAATGTCTCAGCAGTCGTGCAATGACTAGTTATGATAAACCGGTAATCATTAAGCTGCCGGATGTTGAAAGTTTCAATCAAAGGGATGTATTCTTCGTGAATGGGTCTCCGCGAAGAACTCTTGTCTTTGTGTGTGTGTGTGTGTTTGTTGGTAGAAACAAATTGATTATGATAACAGTGCATGCAGAATATGTTCGAGGGAATCGTAAAATACCAAAAGGTTTATCTCTATTTTTTTTTAACAGATAATAAAAAATATTTGTTTATGACTCATCTGTAAGATTAATCTGAAGAGACACCTCGACTATTCAAAGACGACGCGGTACATCGGATGTTTCTCATCAGATAGAATAGGCTAATCATCGAGTTGCGTTAGAACAATCATTTTTTATGTTAGTCATATGTTTTTAAATTATACGATTTAGTTATCTACGATTAATAAGCACCGATAAGAAGATGTGCATCTTTAGTCAGAAGCATCTACAACTAACATGTGCTTGTTGATAAGCTTTATAACGCTTAGTCAATCGAACAAATCTTTGGTTTCTCTTAACAGACAGCTGTAAAATGAAAGGAGTTGTATTGTGTTTTGATTGATAGTGGTGACTTACTTTTGGTTGCAACACTATGATTGCTCTTGAAGTATTCATAATACCGATATTTTGAGCGAAATTTGGGTAATGCCGTGAGTTGATCAATCGGATTGCCCACGTTGAGTTAATTCCGCATAGAAAATTTCGATACTTTTCTGTTGAACTATTACCTTCGAGAATCTTTTTCGGTTGAATTTTGAGAATTTGTTCGTAAAATTTATCTCGTCTCTTATCGAGAACAGCGTCGCGATTCGTATTGGAACTTTTCTCATAAGTTAACGATGAATTTCTCAACCATTGTTGGCAGTACAGTTCCACACAGAGTTTTTCCACGGATTTAATCTTCAAAATCGGCAAACAGACATTGGCATGTTTATTCGAGAAATTTAATAGCGACAATGGATAATTTAATAAACATATATTGTATAAATCATCTGTCGAAATTTGACTTAATGCATAATGGCAACATGATGATAAACGATGAAGTTGCGTCTTATTCAGATTCTCCGGTAGATCAGCGAATGAATCATTATACAACCGTTCCAGTTGTTCGAGCCATCGAGATGAATGTGTAACATTGCAACTTGAAAGATAGAAATAAATTTGACGCAGCTAAGGAGAGAAAAGATAGAAATAAATAGTCCGACGAAGTCAGTCATGCGTAAAAAATAATCTACTAAATTCTTTTTTGTTTCTTTCATTCGGTTTATTCGGTCGTCAATAACAATTATAGTCGGATGAAGACCGTATCAATCTTAGCGTGTTTACGAACATCATCAATTGGATTACGAGCTTTAGTTTTATATTTCTTATCTTACTTTTATCTCGTCGAGTCTGTTTGAGGTGAAAAATAAGAGGAGATTGTCGTAGTCAGTCAGCGCATCAGTAACAGTCGCTTTGTCAATCGACGGACTATGCGAATAATAACGATTTCTCGGTATAAGCCAACCGACATGTGCTTCAGACTAAATGAGTTTCGTATAGAATAGATTATGAAGTTATCATTTGTCAAAAACTAACCTCTTCATTGATGATCCATTGATAGAGATTTTCCATAGTAAAATTATTCGTCATATTTGGAAACATCTATTCAATTAGACAACAATAAACAGAGATAAATCGATTTTCGTCTTACTTGAGGTTCAGTATGTAACTGATGTAGAACGACGAATGGCGTTTGGAACGTATTATTCACATAAAGTCGTGATAGTTCATCAGTAATTGATTGATTTAGAATAATAGCGAAACGTACAGGATGTTCGTTATCTATTTAAAGTGTGAAGATACATTGATTGTGTTTGAGATTTCATTTACCATATTCAATGTGTTTCAGAGCGGCTTGAACGTAGAGAGAAGATTGTTGTCTTTGTAAATCATTTGAAAAATCAAAAGAAGCTAAAACAGTTGACTAAAAAATTAAACGAAAGTCGACTTAAATAACGATCCGTTAAAACCAAATTCGTTTTTACTTCGTATTGAACAATAAAATCTAAAAAATCATTTACATGGGTTAATCTCATCACAGGCATACGAATTTTCTCGATAAATTCAATTATATTGGAAGCAATTGCCGGTCCAAAATATTGATAGCCTCGCGTGCCTTTAACGTATAAAAACATATGAGGAAAATAATTCAATTTGTACGTCTTTCGACATTGACCATTATAATGAAAACAATCAACAGCGATGAACTTAACCTAAACAAAAAAAAAAGCTATTGTTCAGCGACAATCATTTGTCTTCAGTTCTTACATGAAATTTATCTAAAGTAACATTTCCGTCTGAAGTACGTTCTCGGTAGAACGCAGCGGCTTTTTCATACGGATCACGCATACGTCGACTGATACCACAGAAATCTATCGTTCAAACATTTGTATTTCGATTATATTCCCATCGTGTTTGTTGTCACTTACTTGCATAGTACATAACGAAGACAAACGTGTGTGAATTGATCGTTCGTGAAACAGGCGCTAGGTTTCCGTCGAAATAATCATCAATGAGTTGCTTCGAGGATGTAAAGAAAGGTCGCGGTTCTTTGTATGTTCCAGCATCGGATGAGAAAAGTCTACGAATAAAATATCGATGAAAGTTCGCGGAATGACACTCTACCTACCGAAATGTTTCAGTGGATTTGATCAATGATAATAGTAGGATGATGATCTTCACATACTTACACATTCTATTTTCATAAATTACGGATTCATATGAAAAGAAAAGCGAACATATTTAGGAAATATTCAATCACATGTCTGTTTTCGGTATTTTAATTAGAAAAAAAAATCAAATATAAAAGAAAATAAATTAAGATTTTGAATATGTTTTGATTAAATCTCTTGCCGCTTGTAAGTCTAAATGAAGTTACTTAGACGGAAAAGAGAGTGTCAGTCACAAGAGCTTACCAGCAAATAAAACAGCGAATTGTTCGGCATTCATTGCGAATGATATCGATTTCGATTGATTCTCTAGATTATCATTATAATTTAAATTCATAGTTACAACAGGTAAATGCATATCGTGTAGATTATTTGTTGTTTTCACATCGAGCACATTCCACTGAATATCGCCCAGTTTTGTCACTAAAAACAAGAACAATGTCATATGATATAAGGTCAAAGATTCGATCATACATCGCATGACGGATGAACGTAATTTTGCGATTAATCTCTCGAAACTTTCGTCGTAAACTTTGACTAGAGCACTTGCATGTTCTACAATGGAAACATAAAGTAGGTCAAACTCGAACTAAAGATAAACATACCTTTGGGAAGACCAAGTTGCGTCAATTCGTTTAGTAATGATTGTCCGTCAACGGAATGTTTAGCTGACATAGTAAGAATGTATTGCAAGGCACGAACAGATGCTTTTAAATTGCTACTTTCTACACAGAATAGTTAGATAATTATCATAGCACATACGATCTCTGTACCGAATTTATCGCCGACTAGCTTTTGTGCTTCACTAAGCTAAAAGTACGCGAGTTTAATGTTGTCAAACAGACTTTAAATCTTACGTTTAGCGTATCTGTTAGAATTGCTTGCATCACTTGCTGACAGAGTAATTTCAATTTTACTGAACTCTAAGGAGAACATGAAGTTCAGTAAAAGAATTCGCCTTATCAAGATGCGTTTACTAGTTTTGATAATGTGAAGATTTCAGCCAATAACCAATCAGCACAGTCTTCACCACCACAAAAACGAAACCGCTAAAAAGAAGATATCCGTTAGTATCTATTGAGCAACATATCAGAGCAATTTCGTAGCTTTCCGTTACAGAAGAGAATGGTAACATTCAGATAGAAGCTTTTAGTATAAGCAGTACTTCCTCTAATCTCCATGATGACTTACCATATTGAACTTTTCGTTCTAAATCTAAAATAACAAATGAAAACAGCTCAAATGTCTTTTTTTTCGTTCTTTTGTCTCAGTTATCATATCGATCTGATGTTTTATTTGTTAGAAAACATAGTGTAACAGAAAACAAAACAATGATGACATGAAATGACAACTAAACGAAGGTCGAGATGATGTTTTTCTTTTTTTTTCATAGTTGTCTTGTAAAAGAGCAAAAACTTCGTTTTCTTTTGTATTTTATGCTTTCGATTCCGACAATCGAGTTGATGAACGACGTTTGGATTCACTGCGTTTGCGTTCACGTTTTTCCTTGGCGTACTGTTGAAGCAACTTGGCGTATCTAGATCATTAACAGAAATTATTCACAGAAAAATGTACTTTTGACTAAAACTCACTCATTTTGAAGAACGCGTTGTTTTTCGGCACGACGTTTCTTCAATGCTAATGCATGTCTCTTGCGTTGAACGCGTCGTGGTGTAATTAAACGTTGAATTTTCGGTGCTTTAACTCGTGGTTTTTTGCTTTCTTTTGTCAATGGTCGTTTAACAACGTATTTTCTAACATCGTCTTCTTTGCTTAAGTTAAACAATTTACGAATGTGATTAGCACGTTTGGGTCCGAGACGACGTGGGATGGTTTTGTTTGTTAGACCATCAATATCTTGTTCGCCACGTTTGCTGACCACACAGGCCAAAACGGATAAGTTTTGATCAACAATGCAACCACGAACAGACTTGCGTTTACGTTCACCCTTTCGTCGTTGACGGTAACATTTATGACGTTTGTCAAGCAGTAAACGGACACGTTGGTTAGTCAA